CGTGTGCTCTTCCGATCTATTTTTGATTAACACATACGTATATGTTTATTCCGGTATCTCCGGTAAATATTTTGTTAACATAGATATGTAGATAACAAATAAATATCTAATAGATATCTTTGGTAGCTGTTTATTGAACATGGATGTGTAGATTATTATTAGATATCTAGTAGTTATCCATAATGGATATGGATAGTGTATAGATATGTGGATATCCAGTAGATATCTATTATGTATTTTGTTCTGTATGGGAAGAGTTATTTATCTGAATAGTCGGAAATGCCCATCACATATTCTGGTTTTTTTGATAATTTACTACGTAATCTCGATGCCGCGATTCTCTTAATTGTTTACTTTTTTGTGCCGTTACTTATTTCGAGAAGGCGCCATGATTACGAGCCAATTATTTATTTTTTTTAAAAGTATTATCTTCTTTTTATTATTATTTTTTTTAAATAAAAAAGTCTGCTCTGATTTGATTCACAGGCCAAACTGGCAATTATGAATTCATCAAAGTCGAGACTGTGGGTGAAAAGAAGAACGTGGGCATTATCACCTTGAACAGGCCAAAGGTTTTAAATGCTCTGTGCGATCAATTAATGACCGAAATAAATCACGCCTTGGAGCATATGGACTCGGATTCGGCCATCGCCGCCATCGTTCTGACCGGAAGTGAAAAGGCATTCGCAGCTGGTAAGAATTATACGTAAACTTTATTTTACGTACAATTATCACAAACAATATATTCATCAGGAAATCAAACGGCAGTCTTTTTTATCATCTTTAATATGGAAAAAAATATATATATATTATTATTATCATAGGTGCCGACATCAAGGAAATGAAGGATAACTCGTACGCATCGAACTTGAAACATAACTTTATAGCTCACTGGAACGGAGTTGCCAAAAGCAGAAAGCCCCTAATTGCTGCCGTAAATGGTTTTGCTGTAAGTAATGCTTTCGATTGTGTCTTTGGCAAGGCATTGCCGAAAAAAAATTGCGATAAATCGTTCATAATAGCACGGCACTTCCGTATTCCGTAGTTGGGCGGAGGGAACGAGCTCGCAATGATGTGCGATATTATTTACGCCGGTGACAAAGCCAAGTTCAGCCAACCAGAAATCGCCATCGGCACGATTCCCGGAGCAGGCGGTACCCAGAGGCTACCCAGGATCATCGGCAAGAGCAAGGCCATGGAAATGGTACTCACCGGCAACATGATATCCGCGGAAGAAGCTGAGAGAAGCGGTAGGTTTACAAGAATCTGAGTTAACACTCTATTGCAATCGGAAGGAACTCAGCTAAGTTATATACTTTGCGAATTTAAATATAAATATAGTATAAATTATATAAATTGGAATTCCACTATTCCAGCTTATGATTGTGTTGCAAGATATTTATTTGGCGCAGTATGATTGAATTATTGAATTTAAAATTCACATATAGAAATATTAAGCACCAAGATTCAGCCACAAAAGGCGCTTTCAAATTTATTTTCTATTGAAATTGTCTCTTTACATTTAATTTTTTATGTTTTTTGAATTTTTAACAATCTTTAATTAGTTTTACTTTTAATATTCTATTACTCATAAATTTCATAAAATTAAAATGTTAAATTTTATTTTTTTTTATCTTATCTACCCAGGTTTGGTCAGCAAAGTCTTTCCCGCTGACAAAGTCGTCGAAGAGGCGGTGAAACTGGGCGAAAAGATCGCATCTCACTCACCGTTGGTTGTCGCGATAGCTAAGGAAGCTGTTAATGCTGGTAAAAAAAATTATATAAATAAATAAAATAATTCAATGTAATCAAAATTGGGTAAGGTCTAATATATAATTACGATTTATTAATTTTAGCATACGAAACCACATTGCAACAGGGACTTCTGTTCGAAAAGAGACTGTTCCACAGCACTTTCTCTCTGGTGAGACATCCGTTTGTGATTACGAATAATCGAAATGATCGATGAAAAAAAACAGATTTATTAATACGTTTAAATTTTATTTCTTTTTTTTATCAGGCTGATAGAAAGGAAGGAATGGCAGCTTTCTTGGAGAAGCGCTCGCCGAAATATACAAATCAGTAGATTTTGCATTTATCTCTGTCTGCGAAAAGAGAGAAGGAACGCGAAGTGTTCATGAATATTTTTAAAAATATTTTTATACTGCATCTTTTTGTAATGAAAACCCTTTCTAATGTGTCTTGCCTTTGCTTTTCACTGATCGATAGATCTATCAAACTTCTGTTTGAAACTCTCTTCTTTCTCTTTGAGAGAGAGAAAAAAATGTTTATATATAATGTTCAGTTAAGAGGTTAAACATGAGATATTTACCTATTATATTTGTTACGACATATACATGTATATACTGCAATAAACTTTCGCAAGAAACAATGCAACGATGAGTGATTGCAAGAACAGGCGCAACGTTCAAATGAGACTTTTTTTTTTTTTATTCGAGTACATTACTGCTCTTACATAAAGTGGATTTCGAGTATGATACATTTAAAGCTAATATATATATATATATATATATAGAGCGTTGCAGTTAATATTAAAAGGAATAATAATTATTATATTATTATTATCATAGTAGAAAGTGAAGATTAGATGAGAATTATGCGTGAATCCGTTATCGACGTCGCGAATGACGATATCTATAATACTAGCGAGATACCTCGAAAAAAAACGATAGGAACAACAGGATTTCGGTAAACATCAACATAGCTTAAGTTAGAGTGTATAGCGAAAAAAAGATGCAATGCGTCACATTTAAATGATGTAATCCAGTAAGTAAGTAGTTCCCAGTAAACCGGAAAGGATTAAAGTGGATTAAAATTTTTAAATTTATGAGCTGAAATGGATTTGGCCTCCGTGGAAATGAATTAATGCATTTCTATTTTTTCGTAATACATAATATAATATTTTTTGGATTTAGATGGACTGAAACAATGCATTTCCTAGTCACAATTTTTAATTGAGTAACATTCATGATCCATTTTCACGGAAAAACTTTTTTTGAATTTAATCAGATTGAAAAAATTGCATTTCTAATCTAGAACTTTAAATTAACCAATATTCACGATTTGCTTTTTAGAGCTGAATTTTTTTTATTAAATGGCATAGAAAATAATTTCTATAAATAAATGAATACAAAGGCATTGGGCATTGAAATGGATTCAGATTTTCGAAAGTACGCATTCGCGAACGTTGAAATGAATTTATTTCAATCTATTTCAATCTATTCTCGTTTACTGGGTTTCTTATTACGTGTATGAATGTGTTTCTCAAAGTGAGAATTAAGCCTTGCGGCTGTAAATTTCTGCGAACTGGCGGTAAAAGTGGTTAAAAAATATTTCACTTTCGAGAACGTTATCAAAGAAGCGTTTTATCAAATTTTAGCAAGAAAATTTGACCGGGTCTCGTCGGGTATACGTTTTAGCGTCGTTGACTAGCTAATACTAACCGATGCGTACGTCGCGTACGCACCTCTCTCTCTCTCTCTCTCTCTCTCTTCGCGCTTAGGGTTCCTGCCGCGCAGATTTACCGTTTATTGCGATTCTTCATGGTGAAACGTCTCCAGAAGTTGCCGCTCTTCTTCGTGGGCGTCGCGGTGGGCGCCTCGTATGCGTAGCTGGACTCGTCATCCGTGTCCTGGGCGCTCGACGCTTCTCTGATCGGCGAACCACCGTGTCCGGAATCCCTGTCACCGTCCGTGCCATTTTTCTCCAGACCTGCAAGACATGTGGTTTCATTATCGAAATTCAAAGTGAAACACTTATCTTTTTGACGTTTGAAATTAGGGCTGGTGATTTGTTTCGAAAGCTTCGATATTCGAACTTCGAAGCTTATTCGGCATTAAAATCTTCGAATTCTTTCGAAGCTTCGAAGTTTCGAAAAATACATTCGTGCAAATGAATTTATTCAGAAAATTTATAAATATTGTAAATAAAAAGAATTTATATGGGACATTCTCTTTCGAGCGGGCCACCCTCTCTGTCTAAAATTCAGCTCAACCAAAAAATTTCTTCTTGGGCTCAAATTATAGGTACACATGTCTACTTTCATTAGCACTCTGGCCTTTTTACACATTCAATATGGCGGATCAGAATCGCGACTAGAATGGACCGTCAAAAAATTTTTAGAACAAACTTTAATTACTAAAGCACAAGGGGCTAGAAAATGGTTCTATTTCCATAAATTAAGGTTTTGGGTGTCGCTGAATAGGAATCCGCAGTCATAATTATAAAACAATGGCGAATCCAATATACCGGCCAAACACAGCCAATCTTCAAATAATAAGCAAATTTTTTGCACAAGACTCACCAAACCGGAGTTTTTTGGGACGCCAATTATGGAATTTTCAGTTATTAAAGCAGGATTCAGGATATCGAATGCAATATGGCGGATGGAATATGACCTGCAGTGCATTTCGCAACGTTCAAGTTAGAAGATTTTTTTGGTCAATCAATGTGTAGACATTGGTTTATTGGGTTTTTTATTACAAATTATCGATCTTTATTTAAAGTTCAAGGCTGTTGAGCCAATATGGTAGATAAAATATGGAAATAATGGAATTTGCAAATTTGAAGTTTGATCGGTATATTGGTTCGCTATTGTGAATTTTATAATTATGACTGCACATATTCGTATTCAGCGACACCCAAAACCTTAATTTATAGAAATAGAAAAATTTTTTAGCCCATTGTGTTTCAGTAATTAAAGTTTATTCCAAAAATTTTTTGACCACAGTCCATTCTATTCACAGTTCTAGATTCGCCATATTGAATTTTCAAAAAGGCCAGAATGCTAATGAAAGTAGACATGTATATCTACAATTTGAGTTTAAAAAGAAATTTTTTGATTGAGCTGAATTTTGGATAGAGGAGGTGACCCGCTTGACAGAAAATATCCCATATGTATGCTAAAAATATATATACCCATACAGCACAGAAGTTTGCAGCAATATTGCAGCAAAGTTGCAACATTGCATATTGCAATGCAATACTTCAGAAACATTGTTAAAATATAGATTTGCAACATTATTTTAATAATGTTGTAACAATATTTAAAAAAAATGTGAAAAGAATTAGATCGGAAGAGCACACGTCTG